ATTCCAAAAAAGGTCAAAAACAAATAAATAAACATGCAAATCTAACTGAAAAAACAGCTCCACCCCTTTTTCTTAGCCTGCAACACCTGATACCGGCCTCTAAAAGGAGGTCGTTAGGGGGAATTATCAGTGGTGTCAAAAGTTCACACATTTGTTACTTAAGTAGAAGTATAGATATTAGAGATGGAACGGTTTATGAAAACCGTCCGAACCGTTCGGTTCAACTGTCTCGGTTCGGTTCGCGTGTGTTGCGTTCGGTTCATGCGCTGCTCCTTTTTCTCATAGGCGAAGCGTTTACACTCCAGAGCAGAAGGTGGCGGTACTGCGACCAAAGCCAACCACCAGTAGTAAACAAGAAGAAGAAGAAGCGAAGCAGCGTAGCCGGGTGTAGCAGAAAAAAATCAGTTGTTGTGGAGAATTGTGTGGGTATGGCGAGTGGGAAAGAACAGGAGTTGGAAGACGCTCCAGCAGCACTTTATAGGTCTGCTGTATGGGACCACTTTGCATTTAGAGTGACCTACGATGACGGCGGAAAGAAAGTTGTGGATAAAAGTGCAACAGTGTGCAAGCATTGTGCAACACGTTTTGTTTATGCTAACAGCAACATGACCAACATGTCATGCTAACCCCGAAATCCCACATACTCCATCAGCGCTCGCCCCGCTGCGCTCCAGACCGCCTGCACAAAGCAAAGCCTACAGCCTCCACTGTGGCTCCCGTCCGCTCCGCTCTGAGTTCCTTGGAGATCGTAGAGGGCATGCGCCAGATGATGAAATTCAAAGCAGCAAAACATGCGGAAATGATCCAGGGTTTCCTCGGATCATTAAAAATAATTACAATTCATTTTTTGGGGGGGATTTTTTCATTAATTTCATTAATTATTATGGGATTTCGGTGTAACAATCAACATATACCGAACCGTGGATTTTGTGAACCGTTCCACCCCTAATAGATTGTGTTTGCGTTATATGACTCATCCAATCACTAGTTTTCACTAGATGTGTATGGAGCACATGATCTGCATTGGATGGCGCACATGACGGGAAATAAATATTTAGAACATTAAAACGAAGCCAAGAGTAACGAGTAACGTTTGTTTTAATGTAAGGAATAGAAAGTACAGATACTGGTGTAAAAATGTAATGAGTAGAAGTAATGGAGTAAAGTATAGATACATAAAGTGTACTTAAGTACAGTAACAAAGTATTTGAACATAATTACTTGTGGCCTCTGGGAATTGTTGACTTGGCGACATGTTTTGGTCCCCTTCATGGTGATGAGGATTATGATAGCGGGTATTGGAGGCTAACAAAGACCTCAACGACTCCCGATTACCAAGAGGCGGACCTGTTCTTCCAGTGCAATTTGCATGTTTCCTAAGCCACAACAAGGCTTTGTTAGGCTACTCTATACAGATTGGAACTCAACCCTGATTCTATCATTATGAATAGAAAAAGCTTCCTGGATGGGAAGAGAAACATCTTCAAACTTGGAAACAAAGTCCGGTAGATAGTTTTTTTTACTTTTTTGGAATGACTCTGACCTGAATGACTGAGAATCTTCACCAGCAATCAACTGGATAGTGATAAGATAATTATGTTACGGCTGCAGTGGCTTTCTGCACTTTTCCTTGCAGGGTTCTGGATGCAGGCCTTCTGCAGGTGATCTGTTTCGCCCTAATTGGTGCTCGTCTGCTTTAAAAGCTGTCATGCAAGCAGCAGACAGGAGGCTTCTCCCTCTTACCTCCTCAGCACCCCGTTTAGTTTGGTTTGGTTTGTATTCTATGGTTGGGTTTTGTTAGGTTTGTTTGCATTTGCCTATTTCTGTTTAGTTATTGGTTTTGCATTAAGCCATTTCCTATTCCCCATTGTATTTATCCATTATTCAGGTATTGTTTCTTTAGTATAATTTAATAAATTCAATTTTCACTTTAAAGAGTGGTCTCCTTTAATGTTACCCCCACCAAACAAGCCTGGTGGACGTAACAATTATCACTGATGATGTGTGAGTTTGTTACACTTTAATAGAAGCTGCCTGTTGCATGTTAGAACTGATGTTTTCCACAATAGTTTATTTAATTTGTTTTTCCTGAGTTTTTGCGGCACTAGTGGCTCATTTTTCAACAGTAGGCCGACAGGAAAGGGGGTATGAGAGAGAGGGAGAGACATGCGGCAAAGGACCACAGACCGGATAGCGATGCCCTTCAGTTAAGAACAAAGTGTAATATTTTGATAAGGCTGCAGCCATTGATGTCTCCTCATCTGCTAACATGTGTGATGTGATGATGTGGCAGATTGGAGATGTATAAAATGGCTTTTTAACTGTTAATCAGGGTCACTTCCTGAGAGGTGAGCAGCTGTCTTCTTTAACTCTAAGCAATTTATCTGATCTGAGTAAGATTACAATTTCTATCAAACTCTGTAGTAAATTCTCATTGTTATTTAATACATATAAGTTATGAAGTGTTATTTAAAGAGTTTGTCCTAACTGATCTCTTTTCAGGAAGAAAAAACAACCAGAGAGAGAAAACTTCAAGGTGTAAACACACACAGAGAGCATTTCTTTAACAATAGTTTAAAGATAGATAAAATAAATGTTACATTTTTAAAATAAAAACAATACAATGAAGCAGAAAACTCACCTGTGGAAGTTGCGACCGTCCAGTCTTACGACAATGTAGCAGTTCTTTAGGCAAGTGTCGTCTGTTTCAAAGCTGCGGACATATTCAAATTTACTTTTTGCCATAATAACAGCGGAGCTGGAAAAATAACTCAGAGTGAAACAGGATCTTCCTGCAGCTCCGAGTCTGCAAATTCTTCCGATCAACATAAAGCGACTGTTGGGGGGGAAAAAAGGGGAAAAACACCACCTCATTAAAACAATGTCAACTACATCTATTATTTAGACAGTATCTGGATTATTTGCAGCAACACGTTCGATTAATTCATCGTCTGTTAGTAATGAATGAGCAGTTAGCAACTGAGCTACGCGTTTATTTGGTTATGCTAATAAAACAGCTAACCCGATTATTCAAGCTTTCTGCCACCTCATTTCACTAATATTACTCTTATTTAATAACACATCTATTAAATATCGGCTCTCCGGGATCACTCACGCTGCTTTGTGTATAGTCCGTCCACCAATGCTGTCCTAAGTGCAACACTACCTTCAGAAGTCTCCTCAAACAAAGGTTCCGGGTGAACAAGATCAGTTATTGGTTTCTTCTAGGAAATCTATGGAAACATTTTTTCATCCTATATTCATTAATTATCTTCTGGCGAACTGCGTGGATTTATCTAATGCCAGTGGTAAAATATTTTAATTAATATTACTTAATTAAAGGATGTGCATCACAACTTGTTAGTTGGTGACAGTTCTGTACCATGGGGGGGATGTATATCCATTATAATTTATTTATTTATCATTTTGCTCTTATATGTCTTAATCTTTTATTTTTGCTTTTGTCAACTGGCAAACGGTGCACGCGCAATTCAATAAATCAATACATTTTAATAAAAAGGAAGCAGGAGGCTTTGGTAGGGTGGGTGATGAGACCCCTGAAACATCCCCGCCCAAATGATTGCAACAGATTTTAAACTCACAAGCGATTCAAACAAACAAGCAAAGAAGTAATTCAAACATACCGTGTAGCAAATTTAAAGTACACTGAAAAATATTAAGTGGCTTAACCTACAATTTTGTATTATAATGGGATCAATATTTTTCTCAATGTGCCAATTACAGTGTTTACATCACTTCAAATTGTAGGTTAAGCCACTGTTTTTTTTATTTTGTAAAAAAATAAAATAATAATAATAAATAAAGCATTAAAAAAGATCCTTATTAAGGTTGATGTGTGATGATGTTTAATGATGTGTTTTGTTTATCCAACTGACTTTAATGTAAAATTGATATATATATATATATATATATATATATATATATATATATATATATATATATATATATATATATATATATACATATATATATATATATATATATATATATATATATATATATATATAAAACTGCACAATATATAAAACTAGGAGGATTTGGATTTGGGATTGAAGCGATTGTGCACCAAAACAGCTGATTTTGTTTAGAAAATAAAATTTCGGGTATTCAGCATATCGGGTAAGTTAATAATAGCATTAGGGCTTAAACAATTAAACAGATAAATTGTGATTAATTGATTATTGAAATGATTGGCAACTAATTTATTAATCAATTAATAGTTAACTGGATTCTCTAAAACATGCCTTTACTTTACTTAGACCAGTAATTAAACCAACATTGTAAAAATAAATAAAAATAATAAAAATTTTGCATTTAAGACAAAAAAAAAAAAAAAAAAAAAAACGAACAATAGTCTATCCAGAACTCCTCAAGTGAAAATGTTTTAGCTTTTCCTCTTCAAGGAACTTTTTATAATCCAATTATTAATTGGACAAATTATTTAGATTCATCGGTCAGCAAAATAATGATTAACTGCAGCCCTAGATATCATTCATAAGGATGAAATAGAAATGATTGTTATCTGTTCCATTTAATATAGCATTAATAAAATAAAAAATGAACTATTCTACGTTTTTTTTTTTTTACATTATTTTATTATAAACAATTGGAAAAAAATGTTTCTTATCGTTTTATTGTTGGTTAAAATGTAACAGGAATAATATACGGATTGGTTACAATATTTATATCATTATGGAAATACATGTTGGTGCATGCTTGATTTTTAAACATTAAGGCAAAAAATATCCAGGCAAACATAAATCCCTCCCACCGGTAGTGACGTAGATATATAGAGGGGCTGTGGGATTTGTAGTCCAGTTTAAAAAATGGTTTCTTCTCTTTACTCTTGGGAGATAAAACCAGGCTACTAGCTAACATAAATCATTTAATATTCAGAATAAAAATATTATTGCGTTTACGGTGCAGTAATTGACCTCTGGACATGTTAAGAATATAAACTAAACTCAGATAAACAGCAACATTCCCAGAATTCCTTGCGTCATGTCGTTCATCGCTTCTGCGGCTCGTTTGAAACATGGAGGAAAAGGAAAGAAACTCTGCGAAGCCCGATAGAAAACAAACAGAACCGGAGACTGAGAGCAAACAAACAGAACCGGAGCCGGTACCGGAGGGTGATGAATTAAATGTCTGCTCTGAGAGGTTCGACCCGCTGCTGGCTCTCTACTCCCCCACGGCGCCGCCGCTTCCCTTCCCCAACATTAAATGCTTCAACAACGTGGCGGAGTACGAGAGCTTCCTGAGAGGCGGCCCTGGCCGAGCAAAGCCGGAGAATGTGGAGAAAAGGCTGCGGAAAGCCACGAAGGGCCGGGCGGACCCGGAGCGCATGGAGAGGCTGAGAAAGCTGATGGTGAACAACCCGGTGACCGAGTCCCAGGAGGCGGGAGAGAGCAGCGGGGCAGCGCCGAGAGGAAGGAGGCGGAGACCGCAGAGAAACGTCCTGACCAGGATGGCCTGTAGGTCCTAAAACAGACCCTACAAACTAAACACAGTTAATTTAGGTTTTATTTGTCTAAAGTTAGAAACCGCATATTTTACGACGCAGTATTAGAGCCAGGCTAGAAAATGTTGTCTTCTATTTCGAGAATAAACTCGTAAAATTACGAGAATAAACTCGTAAAATTACGAGAATAAACTCGTAAAATTACGAGAATAAACTCGTACAATTACGAGAATAAACTCGTAAAATTACGAGAATAGTCGTACAATTACGAGAATAAAGTCGTAAAATTACGAAAATAAAGTCGTAAAATTACCAGAACAAAGTCGTAAAAATTACGGGAATAAAGTCGTAAAATTGGCAGTATAAAGTCGTAAAATACGTCAATTAAGTCGTAAAATTACGAGAAGAAAGTCGTGAAATTACGAGAAGAAAGTCGTAAAATTACGAGAAGAAAGTCGTAAAATTACGAGAATAAAGTCGTAAAATTGGCAGTATAAAGTCGTAAAATTACGTCAATAAAGTCGCAAAATTACTAGAACAAAGTCATAAAATTACCAGAACAAAGTCGTAAAATTACGAGAATAAAGGCGTAAAATTACGAGAATAAAGTCGTAAAATTACGAGAATAAAGTCGTAAAATTATGAGAAGAAAGTCATAAAATTACGTCAATTACGTCATAAATTACGTCAATATTACGAGAATAGAATTTAGATATCCGTTTAGATATCTGTATTTACATTTTGATTAGGATGAATAATAATTTAAGATATCTAAAATTACGTTTTGACTAGTCAAAAGTCCTTTCAAGATATCTCAAATTACGACACCGGATTTGTCATTTAAAGCGTCACACGCTGATTTAACTTTTCCTCCTTTGGATTAAACTGACAGTAAGGAATTTTTTAGGAATGATCCTCCTGGAAGCCCATTAAAAAGATCATTACACATTTTGACCACTCAGAATGTCAATTTAAGATATTTTTAATGGAAAAGCTGAACAATTTAAGATATCATCAATTCATTTAGAGATATCTTAAAAGGAATTTCGAATAGTCAAACTTACAACTCAAGATATCTTTAAATTTGTTTTTTCTAGTCATTATTTGCTTTTAAGATATCTATAATTGAGTTTTCCCTAGTCAAAACTGCATATCTCCTATCCTAAAATACATTTAAGATATCATGAACTATGGTGGCATTTGAGATATCTTTAATTAGAATTATGACTAGTCAAAACTAAAATCGAGATATCTTAAAATTAGTTTGACTATTCGTAATTTAATCGTAGATATCTGAGATGTGTATTTCAGATAGTCAGTAATTCATGCTAGATATCTTAAATTGACATCTCCATACAAGTTAGTGGTAAATCTGACGTCATTTCGACTAGTCAAAATATAACTAGAAAAAGCTGTTTCGGAGAAACATCAAAGTGGGAATGCTTTTGCTGAATGAAACAAGCTGAAATTAACTGCAGAACATATGAAAATGTGATAGGAAGTCATCAGAAAGTTCAAACTGCAGAAAACAATTGAATTATCTGAAGATTTTGTAGGGTAGAATCATTTGGCAGTAAAATTGCAGAAACAGACTCATCTTAAAAGCTGCACAGCCAAACCATACATGATATCAAAAAATGTCTTGAATGTGGGCACTAGAAGGGTCTTAATATAATGTCTCCCAAGTTGCTAGAAAAATGTATAAAGAAATTTTGAAGGGGGGTTTACCTACTTTCCAGAAACATGTCAGGCGTGTTATGAATTAGCAGCAAACAGAAAAGCTTAATTCCTGTCCAGAAACAGAGCAGAATGAAGCCAAAGTTCACAACATAGGCTGAAAAGTATGAAATTAGCTGAAGTAGAAAAGAAATTACAAAGAAAAACTTTAATCTTATCTGGTTGAAGAAAAAATTTGTAGCTTAAGGATGGGAAGTAAAATGTTGAGGACGATGGTATTGAATAAGTATTAACATTTTGAAATCATATGTGGAAATGTCAAGACTTGGCAAAACAATTGGAAAATTATTTAAAATGTGTCGGTTGATCAGCATAAAGAAAACAGTGTCATCCTTAGAGGATTGAAAATCTACAAACCTATGTGCAAGACTGACCATGAGAAGCAGAGGAAGGACAGAGAGAGAAGCTTATAGAAAGAGAGCTAATACCACTTAAGGAGCTGAATTTATAAAAAAAATTGAACCTGCATGTTACGAGCCGCTGTGGTAATGAAAGCACCGTTGGCAGGCTTAGGCTGCATGTTACAAGGTTAGCAGATGCTTTATTACAGTATAAATCTTAGAACCTGATTAAGAAATATGCACTGAGGTGTGTGGTCCACAGGCCTTGGTAGTGTAATTTGAAGAAATTGGTTGACTTTGGGTCATAGCTACAAGCCATACGGCACAATGAATGAGTGTGCGTAAGGAAGAGGCTTTTATTTTGTAGGTTCCCTTTAGTCTTATTTTGAAAGTCTATCATGGATGTGTGTCAAGGGAAGGGTCATGCCCAGCAGTGATATAGAATCCATTTCCAAATATGAAATCACTGGTTTTCCATGTTATTGGGTGAATAGATGCTGTATTAGAGCGTAAATGGGAGACTTTTATTGTGAAATTTGCTCCTGGGTATGTTTTGAAAAGGCTTCTAGAGTCTAATAGTAACAAGCTGGTGGAGTTTGGGTCATAATGCTGAGCCATTTGCATCAATTAATACACGAGTATAATATAGAGGCTTTTATTTTGTAGGGTAACTGAAGTCTTATTTTGAAAGTCTAGCAGGGTTGTGTGTTGAGAAAAGGGTCAGACCCAGCAGTGATACTTGATGACTTTCCAATCGTTAAATTACTCTTTTCCCTTGTTATTAGGGCAGTAGATAAAGTGGCAATGGGAGGCTTTTATTTTGAAATTTTCCATGGGGTGTGTTTTGAAAACCCCCTAGAGTCTCATTTTTTAAAAAGTGGTTGAGTTTCTGTCTAAGCGAGAGCTATCCTTTGTCTCCAATTGGGGTAACTTTCATGGCTGTAGCTCATTCACAGCCTTAATGGGAAGGAGGAATATAAAGGTTTATAAATCCTGCTGGTCTCATTAAATAACATGCAGCACAATGGTAGAGCAGAACTCTCAAAAGCAAAACTTTCCCTCCGAACAAACGAGCGGTGAGCCAAAACCGTATTAGGTATTCAAAAAATTCTTTCACCGTGAGCGTCAGCCATCTTTGGACTACAACTGGTGTAACTTTCATATTTCTACAATATTTCGTCTAGGCGTGGTGACGATGTAAAAAAGTGTATAATTGTCAAAATCTTGATTTTGGGGTTCGGACAGATTTGTTACCCCCGAACAAACCTTTTTCCTAGCTAAACGATAAAAGATATCGACACACTTCCTTCAATGTGAGTGCTAGGAAGGTCTGAGGAACAACTTCCACAAGGCTCATGTTGCTACGTCGAACGGTTCCCGAATGGGAGCGATACGAAAAAATCTGTTTTTTTGAATTTTCAGTTCGGATTTTCAGAGAGCTCTCATTGGATTTCTATTGGGGAAGTGTGGACTTCTTCGTGGTCTGGGCCAAACTGTCGGAAAACCGTAAATGCCACACAGATGAGGGTTACATTTCCTGAATCCTGACAAAAATCCCTACGTTTTGATGTAAAATTTATCTAGATAGGGTAAAAAATGAGCGAGTGAGTTGAAGCTGTTCGGCATGAGTGAAATGTTTGAAAACGCTAGAGTGGCACACTCTAGCAGCTGAACATTCCGTCCATAGACTTCCATTATAAATTTGAAAATTTGTAAAAATTGTTTAAAAGTTTGAAGCTTCACTGAAGCAAAACTGTAAAAGTTAGCTGAAAGCCGAGTTAAACAGTAATAGCAGAAAGATACGGAAACATTTTAAAAGTTGAATGGTGTTTCTAGCTGAAAGTATGCTGAAGTAGTTAAAGGGCAAAGTAGCTGAAGATTTAGTGGAATTTTTGAAGTTTTACATGCATTTCAATGGGGCCAAAAATCGCAGAAAAAGCTGAATATCGCGAAAACTACGAACAATATCTTTACCAAAAGATATAGCAGAATTCTCCTGAACAAGCTGAACGTTTTGATACCAAATTTGTTTAAATCGGCTGAAAACTGTTGAACTAGTTAAACGAAGAAAAACCTACGGAATAATAATAATAATAACTAGAAAAAGCTGTTTCGGAGAAACATCAAAGTGGGAATGCTTTTGCTGAATGAAAAAAGCTGAAATTAACTGCAGAACATATAAAAATGTGATAGGAAGTCATTAGAAACTTCAAACTGCAGAAAACAATTGAATCATCTGAAGATTTTATAGGGTAGAAACATCTGGCAGTAAAATGGCAGAAACAAACTCATCTTAAAAGCTGCACAGTCAAACCATACATGATATCAAAAAATGTTGATCAGCATAAAGAAAACAGTGTCATCATTTGAGGATTGAAAATTTACAAACCTATGTGCAAGACTAACCATGAGAAGCAGAGGAAGGACAGAGAGAGAAGCTTATAGAAAGAGAGCTAATACCACTTAAGGAGCTGAATTTATAAAAAAAAAACTAACCTGCATAATACGAGCCGCTGTGGTGATGAAAGCACAGTTGGCAGGCTTAGGCTGCATGTTACTAGGTTAGCAGATGCTTTATTACAGTGTAAATCTTAGAGCCTTATTAAGAAATGTAAACTGAGGTGTGTGGTCAACAGGCCTTGGTAGTGTAATTTGAAGAAATTGGTTGACTTTGGGTCATAGCTACAAGCCATACTGCACAATGAATGAGTGTGCATAAGGAAGAGGCTTTTATTTTGTAGGGTCCCTTTAGTCTTATTTTGAAAGTCTATCATGGATGTGTGTCAAGGGAAGGGTCATGCCCAGCAGTGATATAGAATCCATTTCTAAATATGAAATCACTGGTTTTCCATGTTATTGGGTGAATAGATAATATATTAGAGCATAAATGGGAGACTTTTATTGTGAAATTCGCTCTGGGGTATGTTGTGAAAAG